ACTTTTTATTTTTTAGAACAGGACAAACTGGCAAATTCGTCTGTTTTTCCAACTTTTCATTATGAATGCTTTCGAATCTACAGAAAAGTTAAAAGAATAGCACAACCATATAACATAGATTCAGCAATTCTTATTTGCTTGGTATCTTCATATGATTAATTTCTTTGACATATAAATGTAACTTTCAGGCATCATGATGGTTTATTCCTATAGACTGCAGAATATATCGCCTTAAAATAAGGACATTATTGCATAACTACAGTACCATTATCAAGCCTAGGAAAATTAACAGTAACTGCATCATTCCATCTAGTACAGTATTCATTGTATCTTCAAAATCACCCATTTAGAAATTTTTTAAAAAATGAAATTATAAGCTAGGCATTATAATGCACAAGCACATACCTGTAACTCCAGCACTCCAGGAGACTGAGGCAGGAAGATTGCAAGTTCAAGCCTAGCCTGGGCCATTTAGTGTCTTAGCAAGACCCTGTCTCAAAAGAAAAAGGGCTAGGGATGTAGCTCAGGGTGAAAGGCCCCTGGTTCAGTTCCCAATACAGGTTGGGACTAAAATACAATTAAACATGAGAGTATTTTTAGATGATATTTAATACTTATTTTCCAAACAAAACATACCCTTAAAGAATACATACACAAATGGGCATGGTGGAGCATGCCTGTAAATCCCAGCACTTGGGAGGCTGAGGCAGGAGGGTCATTGTGAGTTCGAGACCAGCCTGGGCTACAAAGTGAGCTCACGGCTGGCCTGAACTGCATAGCAAGACCTTGTCTCAAAAAGATTTAAAAAAAAAAAAAAAAGAAGAAGAAGAAAAAGAAAAAAATGAATACATACACAGCACGTGAAAAATCAGAATTGTAGCCAGAATTACAAATGCAACTTTTCCTAAGGCAAGCTCTTGACACCTGTATGTATCCTTTCGTATTCTTTTCTGTACCTATCTTGAGTTTTTTCAGTGCTGGGAATTGAACTCAGGGCCTCACGTGTACAAGAGGCACACGCTGTACTATTGAGCCATATCCCCAGTTCTCTGTGTTAATTCTTAAAGGGAACATAGAACAAATACTGCTTTGCCGCTTGTTTTATTCACTTAGCATATTGTGATTATCTTTAAGCCGGTCAATAAACTTCTGCAACATTTAATGACAGTTTATTTGAACCACAACATAATTATTTACCCAGTCCCTTTTCTTGGATATTTAGGCCATTTTTTCCAACTTTTGTCACTATACTACTGCTGTAACAAATACCTTATTATCATTTTGTTAGGGGATGATCACAGAAGCAGAATTGCTGGGTTAGAGGGCACATGCATTTTTTTGGTTTGTTTGTTTGTTTTTGGTACCAGGAACTGAACTCAGGACCTTTCACTTGCCAAGCAGGTGCCTCTGAGCTATATCCCCGGCTGACACATACATTTTTATGGCTTTTCTTGCATGTTGTCATATTGCCCACTAGAAAGTCATCCATGTTTTCATACTTTAGTTAACATAGCTGAGGGCCTGGTCCTTGCGTTTTTCATATCAAGCATTGTTTATACATCTGTATGTTTTTGAAATTCTCACAGCCATATGTGTAATTTTAATAAATGTTACTTTATTTTAGGTTGTTTTGTTTTGTTTTGTTTTGAGATAGGGTCTTGCTATGTTGCCCATTCTGGCCTCAAACTCCTGGGCTCAAGCAGTCCTCCTGCCTCAGCCCCACAGGTAGCTGGTATTACAGGTGCCTATCACCATGCCTGGCTCTCACTATAGTTTTACTTTTCTTTATGTCCTGGAGAGTTTGAAATTTTGTATTTTATTGTGTCATGTTATTTTTCTGTTTGTGAATTTGTTCTGTTAGGAGTTCAGTAAGTTTTCTGTGTACTATGTATATTAACCCTTGACCTATCTTTTCTCAGTTTCTTTTTAGTCTATAAAGTTATTGATGATAGTTTCTTATATGCAAATGTCTAAAACTGTTAAAATTTATTAATCTTTTACTTCGCTGTCTTCCTTTGCTGTCATGTTGTGAAAATTCTTGTCACTTTGAAGTTATGTATGATACATATTTGCCTACATTCTTCTGATCACTTTCCTTTATTTATTTAGGTTTTTCATATAGCCAGCTGCTCTTTTTTTATTTTTGGTAAAGACGCTTAGGCTGGCCCAAACTGCTGGACTTAAGTGATCCATGATTCTCTTGAATAGCTGGGACTACAGGTGTGCACTGCCATGCCCAGCCCAACAATATCATTCTTTTTTGGGGAGGGGTATCTTTTTGAGACAGGGTCTCACTGTACAGTTTAGGCCAGCCTTGAGCTTACTTTGGAGCCCAGGCTGGTCTTCAACTCGCAACAATCGTCCTGTTTACGCCTCCCAAGTGCTGGGATTACAGGCGTGCGCCACTAAGCCCAGCTCCCAACTATATCATTCTAAGTGTGTTTCATTTTACTTTAATCTTCTACAAAGGCAGACTTCCAAAACTGAGAGTCACAAAGGATAGAGTCTCAAGGAGTGGTCAGTCATTCACTTATTTCTAATACATCTACATGTCACACTGTCACAGATTTAGAACCACAGTTCTAGTAGTTCCCCAAATTGATCAGAGCTCCTTTGCCAACTCAAAGAAGAAATAAATCACTGTGAGAATTCTCTGATTCTTCCACTGATGATTGAAACTCCAGACACCAATGGCTGCGGGACAAATTACATGTTAGTTTTTCATATTTCTCGACTTTGATATTTAAAACTTGACCCCATCTGGAGTTTAGTTTAAGGTTTTTTTGTAATGACTAACTGTCCCAACACTTATTGAATGTTTTATTTTTTATGACTGGTTTGAAATTCTTCATATCTATTTCTGGATTTAGTATTCTAATCTATTGATCTCTTTATTCTAATAACCCCACTAACTGTTGTACATTGACTTAATTATTTTCAACATAGTTTTAATACCTAATAGACAAAAAACCCTGTTATTTTTAAGTTTCTTGAAGGTTCTCTTACTTAATTTCCTGGACTGCAATTTTTTTTTCTACCTCAAAGACTTGATATTTTGACAATAGAGGAAAGATGAGTTACTTAAAATTTTTGGACATTTTGATATTTTTTATTGTCAAGTGGTAAACATTTTTATATATTCTAGATGAAAATCCTTTTTAAAAACTATTACTTTACTTTTCTGAGGACTAAGCCATAAGTAGACATTTCTTAATATCTCCTAATCATGTAAACAATCTTTATTTAAAGAGCGCTGGATATCTAGTAGGTAGCTGATAAATAAATGAATGAGTTGTATTTTCCTGGTTGCTACTGTGTATTATTCACATATATATAGTTGTTTTTCATCCCTGCAGATTATCTGCTATGTAACTTGCCATCCACAGTGATGTTGGTGATGTTAAAGTAGATGCTATTGCAGTGTTTGATGAAGACCCACAGTAAGGAAGGCATTTTACATTGTGACCTAGAAACAAGATTTTCATAAAGGAGTACTTAACCTTACTATGTTTAGTACACTCTTGATATATTCTAATCTATTGTACTATTTTTTTTTTCTTAATTGCTAAGCTGGACCTTCTAAATTGATCATGAACAACTAATGTGTTATGTAAAACAGTCTGCTAAAACAAAGTCTGCCCAAATACAGGGCCATAAAGTGTCACTACAGAATGTTTTGTGGGAGGTGAATCTATCGGTAAAAACGAATTATCTCACTATCTTAATTTTAAAAAATCTAGTGTTATCAATCTGATATTCTGATTTCCTGTCCATCGAAGGTAGACTTTAGTCTTATTCCTTGTGAAAACCTGGTTAATATAGAAATAAAAGCCAAATATTTAAATTGCTGATACTGTCAGTTGGTAATAGATGCATACCAAAGGGAAATGTGTTTAATAAAGACAGTCCTCATTTTTCTACAGGAGCGTAAACACATTATGCCTTTGCGTTAAAGAATATTAAAAAAAGAATTCTACCACGAATTTTAAAGGAGAAAAAGTAAGTCACAGGCTTTTGTGTGTTGAAATAAGTGCACATTTTGTAGATGTTACCAACATACTAATATTTACTTACAAAAAATGATTATAGAAAAGTAAATAGAAGGCAAGAAAATACCTTGGTTTTTTAGTTTAATCTCTGATCGTTTTGTCTTGTGTCATAACAGTGTGCAAAAAGGTTTGATGAGCTGAAGAGCAGTGGAAGCTCACCTGTGGACAATCAGTACAATCCCCTAATGGCTGCGGGTGAGAGTCCGGTTGAAACTTTAGCCACATACATCAAATCTTCACTTCTTGACACACAGGGAGATTTTCAGGGGACTCCGGTTGGTCAGGATGCAGTTTCCAAAACAGGTAAGATTTTAAAATAAGATTTACTATGTGTCCTTAGGAGAATTCTGCATAGTTTTATATGTTCCAGTCAACTTTTCTTTGTGTTTACAGGCTTATAAAAACATTAATATAAAGTCTATTCTTATTTTGCATCTTCCTGAAATTTAAAAATTACATCTGCTGGGTGTGGTGGCACACGCCTGTAATCCTAGCACTCGAGAGGCTGAGGCGGGAGGATCACCATGAGTTCGAGGCCAACCTGGGCTACATAGTTCAAGGCCAGCCTGAACTACATAACGATACCCTGTCTCAAAAAAAAAAATTTATAGCTATCTTTGTTATTTTTTTAAAACCTTTTTAAATGTTAATTTATAGGTCAAACGCTATTTCCAAAACAAAATCTTAGCTATATCAAAATGTTCAACTCTGGTCCATTGGCCTAGTTACTTCATATATTGTTTATTATTCATTATAAATAAATATCTATTTACTTTATTATAAAGGAAATTTGACCTCAACTGTATTTACTTTTTGATTTTGTTTTTGTTTGCTTTGTGGACTTGTAAAATCTTTCTTGTTTCTCATGTAATCTGGTTTTTTTTTTTGGTACCGGGAATCGAACTCAGGACCTTGTGCTTGCCAGGCAGGTGCTTGTGCCACTGAGCTACATCTCTGGCCCTCATGTAATCTTTTTTACAGCTACTTTTTACTGCAGTTAACAAGATTCATGTAACACATAGTGGCAAGGTAGAAGAAACGTTTTCTGCAGTGATGTTGGGAATAACTGGTTTTAGAAATCCTTAGAGTGTACTGAATTAATTTAATCTCATCAGTAGTGGTCAGAGTATTGGTATAAAACTTTGCTTGTGCTGTTGGGTTTTGAACACTTAACTTTTACTGCTACATGCAATATCAATAATTTTTGCGTGTCCATTGTAATATATTAGCGGTGTGTGATCTCCTTTTTTAATTGTAGTTTATAGTTTCTTCCATGGGCCTTTAAAAATATTTGTATTAAAATGAGAAATGCCACCTAAATACCCTCTTTTAGCTAGCCTTGGGAACCATGCACTTACATTACTACATTCGATAAGTAAGAACCCCTTCTCAACAAGAAATGCTAACCCTCCACCTTTTTGTTTTCTTTGTATGTGTCTGTTTCTGTATTTAAGGAAGACATAGTATAGCTTCCACAAGGAATTGTTCTTCAGAAAGTGAAAATTGTACTACTCATAATGGTGGAGAAAAGACTGAAGAATCTGAAGGGTAGGAGGCTGGTTGTTTGTTAGATAAGATTTAATATCAACTTTAAATTATAAAATATTCATGTTTGTATGCATTAGTTACCATAATTTAGGAATTTCATATTATACAATTGTTGAAACAGTTGGAATCAGTTTAGTTCACATTTCTTTTTTGGAGACAGGGTCTCACTATGTAACCCATGCTGCCCTTAAACTCACTACGTAGCCCTGGCTGGCCTCAACTCACAGCGATCCTCCTGCCTCAGCCTCCCAGTGCTGAGATTACAGGTGTGCACCAGCACACCCAGCTCATATGTTGAACTATAAGCAGTTGCCTAATACTTAAACGTACAACTTGCCCTGTTTAATCTAGATGGTAGCTTGCCATTGTAAAATATCATTTTCATATTTGTAAAATTAGAAATAACATCTATTAATATAAAACTATGAATAGTAAGTTTTAATACCCAAAGAAAAATCTCTGTGCCATTCATTTTCCATCTTCATTAAAGAATTTAGATGTTTTAGAACTATTTGAATATAATCATCAGTTAGAAATTGAAAGAATATATCTTCTAATGTTGTCAGTTTTGGTATTTTATATTATTTGATGTCATACTGCATGCATTATAAGTTTCACTTTGAGCTTTCATAAATAAGTAAACTATCACCTAAACAAGGTGTAGAACATCTTCTTCATCCCTCAACATTTTTTCGTATACCTTAGTTATGGTAAATTTTTAATAACAGCTTCATTAGTACATCACTTATATATCATAAAATCCACTTTTTTGTGGTTTGTTTTGTTTGCAGTATTGGATATTGAGGCCAGGGCCTTCAAATTGAGCTGCACCCCCCCAACCTACCCCCACCAACTTCCTTTTTTTTTTTTTTCTTTGAGGCAGGGACCTGCTAAATTGCTAAATTGCCAAGGCTGGGCTCAAATTTGCAGTCCTCCTGCTCAGACTCCCAGAGCTGAGATTACAGGTGTGCACCCCTGCACCAAAAAACATTCTGGAAATGAGTAGTGGTGATCATCAAAGAGCAATGTAAATGTTACTTAATGCCACTGATCTGTACACTTAAAAGTGGGTAAAATGGTAAATTTTATGTGTATTTTAACACAGTAAACTTCGAAAGTCTGTATAGTTCAGATATTATTAGTTTATTCACATAGATTTTGAGGGGTTTTTTTGGTGGGGTTGGAGATTAAACCCAGGGTCTTGGACATAGTAGGCAAGCATGCCACTACTAAACTACACCCAAAATCTTTTTTATATTTTTTAACTTTTTATTCTTGTGCTTTCTTTCTTGTCTTGTCTTTCTTTCTTTCTTTTTTTTTTTTTTTTTTAATTCTGTGACAGTGTTGTGTTGTGTTGTCTCTGCCTTGCAATGCTGTAGCCCCGTTCTCCCGAGTAGCTGATATCAGGGCCGGGGATATGGCTCAGTGGCACAGTACCTGCCTGGCAAGTGCAAGGTCCTGAGTCGGATGCGCAGTGCCAAAAAACAAAACAAAACACAAATAGCTGGTATTACAGGCATATGTGACTGCACCTACCCCATGTAGATTTCATTTTTAAACTGTTAAATTTGTCTGTGTGATGCAGAAGTTTGCCAGATTTTTTGTTGTTGCTGTTCTGGGATTATCAGATAGTTCATACTGTGATCCAGAAAGCTACAGAAACTTTTTTTAATTGTATCAGTTAGCTGTTTATATTTTTACCACAATTTCTTTTGGAAGAAATTTGGAAGAACAATTTGTCAAAAGTTTTTTAATTTTTCTAATTTTGATAGAGCATTGATTATAATCCTTTTTCTGGTAGCCCAGTTTTATGTAAGATGTAATCTTTTGTATTCAAAATTTGAGAAGTTCAGTTAAACACAATAAATTCATATTGTACACTTGTCTGTGTTCTCTTTTTTTTAATGACATCAAGGCAGAAGTGGATTAAACTCTGTTTTTGAAGTGATACAGTTTTGAAATAAATTCAGAGCATATAACTTTTGAAGTAGACTTTGATGCCTTATCTAAACTTACTAAAACGTTTAAATGCATATAAATACACATTTAGTCTCAAAGATCCCTTTAACGACATTAGTTTGTACTTGGTGAATGTCTAGAACCAAATTTTCTTGTTACTAAAAGTGAGTAAGCCATGCTAATATTTTTAAAACCACTGTTCTGAGTAGGTGAGTGGCAAAGGGTTGGAGAGTAATGGACAGGCTTCACAGTGACACAATTTCGTCGTATGTATTTATTTTTTTGGTACCAGGAATCAAACTGAAGACCTTGAGCTTACCGGGGAGGCGTTTGGGCCACTGAGCTATAGCCCCTGCCCCAAGCCGTGCTAATTTTAAATTTGATTCCTCAATAGATAATTTAGTTTTTCCTTTTTCAAAAGGATAAACATTTTAGTATTTAATCATTGTTATTTCCTTCCCACACCCATTGCATAAAGTGCTATCATATATCCATCCCAGAAATTAAAATGTGTTCCTTAATTTTTCTTTGGGAATTGGTATTCTTTTTATAAAGGTTATATGTAACATATGACTTGAAAAATAATTTCTAAGCATTGTAAGTTGTTAGTCCTTCAGTGACTTTCTAAAATTAGTCATAACCTTAGACACACTCAGGTTAGCAAGACACTTAAAAAAGTCTGCGTGTCAAAATCCTTTAAAACTCATTTGTGATCAAAAATCTTTTTTAAAAACCTGTTCTTTTACTTTCAATAAATGTCAGTATTGTTCTAAAAATCTACTAATTTCATTTCTGTGTCACATTTTTTATGAAGGCCAAACATGGTGATTCATGTATGTGATGAAGGAAAAAACTTGAAAGAAGATTTTATTTGCCCACGAGATCTTTTGATATCAGAAATGAAGTACTTTGCTGAATATTTATCTATGGATGCCCAGCGCTGGGAAGAGGTGGACATTTCAGTTCATTGTGACGTTCACATTTTCAACTGGTTGATAAAATATGTTAAAAGAAACACTAAGGAGAATAAAGATTGTGAGACACCCACTTTAGGTAAAAAACAATCTACTGCTTTATTTTACAGTGAAATTTCCATGTCATCTGATAGCTGTTCCAGGTCAAAAATAAAATACAGAAAATTATGTGAACATTAATATCTTGGAAACTGATACTCATGCTTTTTTAGAAATTTAGTTATTTACTAAATAAAATTTAGTAAATTTACTATTTATGGCAGATAAACAGGTTTCTGGGTCAGAAGTTCTTAATATATTGTATGTGGACCACTGGGTCCTGGAAACCATTTTAAAGGGACCACAAGGTGCAAACAATTTGCACAATAATATCAGGATGTTATTTATCTTTTCCACCATGTTGTGTTGCTCAAGTGATGCAAAGGCAATGATGAGCAAAACCGTTGGGGCCTTAGTATAAATCAAGGCGGGGACACCAACTGTACTAGTCGGCATTACATTTAACACCATGCACTCATAGGTAGGAAGGAATAAAAGAAAAAATGTCAGTTCACAGAAGAATATCCTTGAAGTAGTAAAAATTTCTAATTTTTTTTTTTTTTTAATTTCTAATTTTTAAAGCTTAAATCTTGAGTATGATCTGTGTGGTAAAAGGGGGAGGTGCACAACTTTGCATTGCCAACGTGTGATGATTGCCTGGAGGGAAAGCGTTTTGGAAAATTTCCCTGCCTCCGTGTGCATGACTCTTCTCAGTACTCAAAAGACTTTTCTAGGGCTGGGATGCCTGTGATCTGAGCACTCAGGAGGCTGAAGCAGGAGATTGCTGTGAGTTCAAGGCCAGCCTGGGCTACACAGTAAGTTCAAGACTAGCCTGGACTGCGTAGTGAGACTTTTCTAGTGAGATCTGATTGATGATCATATTAATGAATATGATTTGATTTTTTGTCTTTTTTTTTAAAAGCAAAAGGTTTGAAAACACAGGGCTGGGGATATAGCTCAGTGGCACAAGTGCCTGCCTGGCAAGCGCAAGGTCCTGAGTTTGATTCCTGATACAAAAAAAAAAAGAACCCATAACAGAAAACAGTAAACTCACACCCAACCCTTTTTGTTTTTTGTCTTGTGATAGGGCCTCATTAACTTGCCTAGGCGGGATTCAGATTTGCAATCCTCAGTCTGGACATGGCGGTGCATGCCTATAATCCCAGGAGGATTGCTCTATGTTTGAGACCAGCTTTGACTATTTAGTGAACTCAAAGACAGTCTATGTAGTGAGACCCTGTCACCCCGACCAAAAAAATGGTAATTTTCCTGCCTCAGCTTCCTATGTACTGGGATTATAGGCATGTAGCACCACACTCAGCTCAATAAATGTGATTTTAAAAATATATATTGTACAATGAAATATATATTGTACAATGAAAAGCTCTGCATAGCTCAGTGAGCTGATTATTTTCTAAATGATAGTGAATGATGTTTAAAAATGGGTTAATGATCCATTCAAAATATAAAATTGGGCCAAATGTAGCTCACTGGCACAATGCCTGCCTGGCAAGCACAAGGCCTTGAGTTTAATTACTATACCAAAAAAAAAATCTTAAGCAAAATATAAGATAAATCATTTAACAGTAAGAAAATTTATTGATAAGGTTTCAGATTCCATTGCAACTAAACTTTAAGAAACTAGCATTTGTCAAGTTTCTGTGTAATATCGAAGAAGGCTGCTCACAAATGTGAATGCAAAAACAAACGTGATAATACAGCTGTCTTCTGTTAAGTCAGGTATGAAGGGATTTTCAAAAATATTTCAAACAGAGCTACTCATGATAATTTTTTTCATTTTGGAAAATAAAGTTTCACAAAAATATGTCGACATGTTTATTATTTTAAAATATTTTTAAAGTTTCTGTTCACGTAGTTTCATATGGTGACTACTGATAGACATAACTCACAAAAACAAAACACTTTGCAGGATTTTCAGTTTTTAAGATTGTAGAGGGGTCCTAAGCTTTAAAAGTGTTCTAAATGATAGCAAGAATAATTATCCTAAGCTTAAAAGTGTTCTAAGTGACAGCAAGAATCATTATTAAAAGTAATCTTTCAATAGATATAGACTTGTGTTAGGAATCACATTTGTGGTTTAATAAAATCTTTAGTCTCTGTGCACAAAAATTGCTATTTACATCAGTTTCAAAATATTTTTTAACTCTTAAAGTATATTATACTGACAGTATAAAGTTTTTTGAATATACTGTATTATATTATAGTGACCAAATTAATGGGAAGGTTGTTTACAAGACTGCTAACTCAAAATTTTCAGCCAGAGTTCAGAGATTCCAGACTACCCAGCTGTGATACCTATGTGGAACATAAAATATGTAAAGGAAAAAATATTATTTGATCTGACACATCTATATATGTAGTAATGGTAAAATAGATGGAGAAAAGCAGTCATTCTCTTTGACCTTAAGTCAGTGATAACAGATATACATTTTTATAAAAGCAAAGTTTTTATAGATACTTTACTCTAACCAGGAAAAGTAGTAACATGCCTAATTAAATCTCTAATAATCTAGCCACTGGTTCTTTATTTTATTTTATTTTATTTTTTTAAAGAGTAAACGAAGGATAACATAGTAATAGGGGGATTTACCAAATTACAGACAAAGTGGTAGGAAATTATCAATGTTATTTTACCTATTGGTATCTTCAAGATATTTTCTCAGGAAAACAAATAGACAAATAATAGTGAGTTACAGACAAAAGTGGTAGGAAAATATCAATGGTTGTTGTACTGTACTTTGGTTTCTTCAAAGTGGTTTCTAGGGAAAACAAATAGAGGTATACATGAGTGATCAATTAAATAATCATTGACTATTCTCAATGGTTGTTGTTGGAAACACCTAGTAATAAACATACATCCATTTACAAAATAGCGTAGGAACAATGCAAACATTCCAGGGTTATGGACAGATTGGTAGAAAGATATCAATAGCTGCTGCAATACATGTTGGTATCTTCAAAGTGGTTTCTTAGGAAAACAGATACGCAAGAAAGATCTAACAAGTAGTTACAGCCTAAGGGTTGTCAAAAATAGCGGATTACCTCCTCATCAGTGATTTCTTTCACTGAGGTGTGACGGCTGGAAGAAAGGCCAGGATTGAAAAGAAAGACCGAGAGACTAGCACCAGTATCCAACAGTAAGCTGTTTACTTTTTCCTCTATAGTCATGATTACACGGAGCTCCTCCTTGGAGATGACAGTCTGGCCAGAGGGAGAAGGCAGAGTATCCCCTGGGCCCCTTCATTCCTGTTGGACCAGCTAATAGAAGGGATCTGAGCTCTGAGCCCTCCGCTTCAGAGGGCAGTCCGACCTCTAGAGGTCACCTTTTCAGTCAGGGCATGGCCCAGGGGACTTCTTAGGGCATTCCCTCTTGAGGTGGCCTGGCTTTTAACAGTGGTAGCAGATGAATGCAGTTGTCGAGTTCTTCTTGGGACCCCGAGAATCAGACTTAGGGTCTGTTTCTCTTAGTGCTGCAGCAAAAGCAGCTGTTTTTTCTCCGTCTCTTTGTTTTCTCTCCTTGACCTCCTCCTCATCACTAGCCACTGGTTCTTAATTGGATTGTTAATCAGATGAGCTTTCTTGCCAGCTTCTTCCACCCTTTGAAATTTCCACTTGAGACTCTTTAAACTAGAATTGTTGTTTAGGTAGATTGAGATTACTTGTTTTAATTATTAAGATTTCTAGTACATGATCTTTGTAGTACTGCAGTAATGAAAACAAGTTTTTTCTTCTGAAATATACTTCATGAGCAAAGACAGACTTACTAAAATAAAGTGCCAGGCAGCACTCCTTTCCCTGTCTTTATGTCTGAAGATTCTTTCAGTGTGCCTTAGGAAGTAACTTCTGCACTTCTGCAGTAGTAGCAGTAGGAGCAGCAGTAGTAGTGTGAGTGTCCTTCACACTAAGCACCATCCCCAGAACTGTAAAAAAATTTTTTAAAATATTGAGACAAGACCTAAGTTACTAATTTGCCCATGCTGAGCTCAAACTTGTCATCCACTGGGTTTAGAGGTGTGCACTTCCACACCCAACTAATAGTAAATTCCTTATTGCCTTTAGTAATCTTCTTTGAATATTTGTTTATAGTAAGCATTGAACTTATTTTTACCAGTACCATGCTGTTTTTTGTTTGTTTGTTTGTTTTTGGTTTTTGGTTTTTTTCCAGTACCAGGAGTTGAACTCATGACCTTGCACTTGCCAGGCTGGCGCTGTGCTGCTGAACTAAATCCCCAGTCCCCTTCCATGCTGTTTTTATCACAGTAGCTTATTACTATAATTTCAAGTCAGGGATTGTGATACCCCCTTCCTTGCCTTTGTTACCCAAAATGAACTCCCATTTTATTTTATTTTATTTTATTTTATTTTATTTTATTTTTATTTTATTGGTACCATGACTCAAACTCAGGGCCTATGTTTGCGAGGCAGGCACTGTGCCACGGAGGTATATCACTGGCCCTGAACGCCATTTAAAATACCTTCACTAATAGCAAATGCTCTCCTTAGTTATTTTTGAAAGTTTTTCTCTGTGATTGTTGTATATTTCATATCTTTAGCTGGAGTTCATAATGCCTGTAAGTCTAGCTCCTGGGCAAATTTACTATGCATTTTTCTCTGTATACTAAGTTTTAACTTTAAATTTTCTTTCTTTTGTGTATTTAAGGTTTATGATATGAGTAAGGTTACATTAAATTGTTCTTATTAAAGTAACATCTTTTTTGAAGGTAGAAAGGAACCTGTTCTGAGGAGATGGTGATAAAAATCAAAAGGAATTTTAATTTATTTTCTTTCTATTTAGAACCTGGAAATGTCATTTCAATTCTTATTTCTTCAGAGTTTTTGAAAATGGATTCACTAGTAAGTACTAATTTTAAAAATCCAATCTTTTGTTTCACTTAGGTTTTTTTTCTTCAAATATCTGGGAAATTTTCAGGTGTTTTATTAAAACAGTTAATTCAAGAGTGTGATTTTGGGGCTGGGGATTTAGCTCAGCGGCAAAAGCGCCTGCCTGGCAAGCGCAAGGTCGTGAGTTCGGTTCCCGGTACCGGAGAAAAACCAAAAAAAAAAAAAAAAAAAAAAAAAAAAAAACAAAAGAAAAAACAACAACAACAAAAAAAAGAGTGTGATTTTATTGTAATACATTGCCCATGTTTGGAAATACTTCGTTCTGTTAGGGAAGGGTTAAGACTACCCAGTATCGTTTATATGTCATGCCAGTAAAGCAAGCAGTTAATCTTCAAAGAGTAGCTCACTCTTCTAGTAAGTGAAATTAAAGATTAACTTTACCTCAGATGGGATTTGTCTTATCAGCAAATTAAATAAAAACTAATTGAAATATGTTTGCTGTTTAAATGATTTCTTTACTCACGATTTGCTTGTATTTCTCATTTATAGTCGAGTGAGTGAAAACAGATAGCCAGCCTGTGTAATCTTACATTTGCATCACTGAAGGTGCTGTGTGTTGCTTGAGAGCAGCTAATGAAAGATAGAAGTACAATCCATAGGTACATTGGCATGTTAAGCTCTTAACATTAAATGTTTGCTTTTCTTTTTTTTACTTAATAAATTTATCATTCAAATGATTTTTATATATGTTCATGGTTGATATTTTCTGGTTAATATTTAAAGAAATATTTACTTTTAGCTCATAAAACTATACAGGGCAGAACACTACTTTGCTACGTTGGCAGATGAGAAGTTTGTTTGCTTCATTATTTGGAGTTCTGCTAGTTTTACTAGTTACTTTCTATCCCCCTGCCCTTCCCACTTAGTCAGCTGGTATTGCTATTACTTTCTTCAGGTAAGGGCAACAAAAGAAAAGCAGAATCTAAAAGAGTCCTTAAAGAATTTTACCGCTGTCAGCAAAATATTTGAGAGAATATGCAACTAACCCTTCTTTACTTTTAAAGTAAATAAATATACCTCAGGTTGGACAGAGGGGAAGAAAATGAGAGAGCAAACTTAGCACAACTGAGAAAGTCCTTAAATGACTAAAAGTTTGTTTCTGAGACCAGGAGAGATGGAGGCTCAAATTATAACTTAACTTTGCTGAGCATAGTGACGCACACTTGTAATCCCAGCATTTGGGAGACTGAGGCAGAATTACTAAAAGTTTGAGGCTATTGTAGGCTACATAGTGAGTTCAAGACCTGCTTGTACTACATAGTGAGGCCCTGTCTCAAAAAAACAGACAAACAAAAATTCAGTTATAGGAGCTTACCTGGTATACAGACTGATAAATACCTGCCCCAACCATAAAAAATATATTACTGTTTGCAACAGAAAAGATTAGAAAATAATTTTCCTAGGTTCACATATGTAGTCATAAATTTGACCTGCAAAACCACTTTGGAATGGGTTACATTAACCCAAGTAGGTAAAACTAATACATACAGTAGGCTTTTAGTGAATTTTATATTTGAAAGGTATTAGAAGTCCAGTGCACTATCCATTGTGCTACAGAGCCTGTTTGAAAGGTATTGCTATGACGTTATCCTTTGTGCTGTTATTTTCAACATTCATTTCTATTCTGTTCTTTTTTTAGGTAGAACAGTGTATTCAGTACTGCCACAAAAATATGAATGCCATAGTAGCTACTCCATGCAACATGAACTGTATTAATGCAAATCTTCTTACACGAATAGCTGATCTTTTCACACATAATGAAGTTGATGATTTAAAAGACAAAAAGGATAAGTTTAGGAGGTAATTTTTAAATTTAATTTTAAACCTAATTTTCCTATTAAAAGAAATATATTTCTGTTTAATTTTAGTGAATTTCTCTTCTTAGAATATATTTAGAGCTGAGCAAGTTGGCGCACACTTGAAATCCCAGCACTTAGGAGGCTGAGGCAAGAGGATCACTGAGAGTTTGAGGCCAGCCTGGGGTATATAGTGAGACCCTTTCTCTCTCAAAAAAATGTTTATATATATATGTTTTATATATATAAATATATAATACATTTTTTCTATTTTAAGTGAACAGCCGGTGGCTCATGATAAAAATTAGTATTTTGTATAGTAAACATATGAACATATGTGGTAGTGAAGTACATGAAAAATGTTTAAGACAGGCTTTAGCATAAAGGGCAAGAGTATTATATCAGCAGTAGTTATATCATTTAGAGGCTGTTTAGATCAAAGCAAGGAGGAGATACCTTATTCTAGGTGTGAATGAAGAGGGGAGGTGATACATTATATCATGTTTTTATTGGTCTTTTTGAAACAGGGTCCACTATATCATTTTTTTAAAAGATGATTCTGGATGCTATGTGAAAAATAGACTTCAGGGATCTAAGGAGCAAGAGCTGCTAGGTTAGGACAGCAGACTGGTGAGAACTGAAAGGGTCTGGCGAGGGTAGAAGCAGTAAGCTGGAAAGAAGTAGATGTGTTCAGTATGTGCTATGAGAAGGATTTGACAGGTTTGTGAATGTGATGATGTAGGAAAAGAGGATTTCAGGATAATTACTAGGTGTTCAGCTTGAGCAACTAAACAGTAGTCCTTCCACTAACAGAGAAAGGAAGAATTGGGAGGGGAAGGGGTGGAGTGAAGCAAATAAAGAGGTGGACTGGGCTCTTGTTGATATACTTCTAGGACATCCAGAGGAAATACTCAATAGGTATTGGGTACATTAATCTTAGATTTAGGTCAAAGGTCAGGGCTTAAAATAGAAACTTGAGACTACATGAGGTTGGAAACAGTGGAACTGGTTGAAATTTCTTAGCAAAAAACCATGGTATTTTTTGTCTTACTCAAGAAAACTTTGCCTACCTGAAGGTAGTGAAGATATTCTATGGGTTTTTTTTTTCTAGTATTTATCCTGAACGTGTGTGTGTGTGTGTGTGTGTGTGTGTGTGTGTGTGTGTTATGAAGTAGGAGTCAAAACTCATTTTTCCCCAAATAGATACGTAGCTGACAGATCACCATATATTGAACAGATGATTTTCCCCACTGACTTGCAGCACTTTCACCATAACTCGGCTGACTGTGCCTGAGCTCTGTTTCTGAGTACTGTCTTGTTCTCTTGATTGCCTGTCTTGAATTAGTAGCATGTAGCCTTAATCATGGTAGCCTCTAGATTCTTCTTCACCTCCACCTTTCTTCAAGATGCTTGCATTACGTATAAATTTTATAATCAGCTTATTTTCTGTTTCACACACCTGCCAGAATTTGGGGTTAATATAAAACCTATAGATCAGTATGGGAGTTTTTACGTCTTGATTATATTTCAGTCTATGAATATAATACAACCCTCCATTTATTTGGGCAGTCATTATTTCATCAATGTCTTATTTGGGGCTTAGAGAAATTTCGCCTTTTTAAATTGAATTTACTCCTGGGTATTTAATTTCCAGTGCTATTGTAAATGCTATTCTTATTTTACTTTCTAATTGTTAACAAAAGACCACCCAGTAGAGATTGAACAGAGAAGTAGCCACGAGTGAGAGGCCTGAGAAGGAGGAGCCTGGAAGCAAAGGAACGCGAAAGGAAAAAAGATTTTGAAAGGAAGGCGCAATTAAGTGACCAAATATGTAGAATTCTGCTCTCATGTGTAGTAAAATGAAGACAAATGGGATTGATTGGATTGAGAAAATTTTTTTCCAGATGCTTTGCTTGAATAGTTGCCAAGAAATATAGCAGCAGCTATTTAAGGAAAGAAAGGCTTAAGAAAGGATATTTTTAAATATCCAGATGTTTAAAATAATGGTGATTGATTAAAGAGGAAGAAATTAATAATACAGAGGATTATCCAAAAATTTAGACTAAGGAAAATGAGACCGTGGAATAATCCAAGGGCTAAATTCTTGAATGTTGCCATGGAACCTTAGTCCAGATTTGGGCTTTACAACCAACAGACAGAAGTTGGGGGGTGGAGAGGAGGGGAATGAGGTAGAAAAGGATTAAGGTGGTTATGTACATGTACCACCAGTAGCTAGCTCCCCACGATGGAAGTAATCATCAAACACTGCAAACGTGCATACTCATAAAAATGAAAATCTACAAAAGCACAGAGCACCAGACACTGCACAAAGCAGGACGGAGACAGGCAGGACATGCATTTAGAGTTAATGACACATTTAGGGGACTTCAGGTTCAGTTTATTATGCTTAATAATAAAGTAATTAACATTCATTTAAATTTAACACTATGCCCAGCCCTCTAAAAATGTATCGTTTAGCTTTCATAAAACCTTGGGTTTGGAATTAATTAACACATTTTCTAGAGAAAAGTTTCAGAGAGAGTAGATTGTGAAGAATCATATACTTCGTTATTAGTAGAACTAGATCACTAAATTCTCAAAATCTTTAATTTTAAATACTTCAATAATGGCCAGGTGTGGTGGTTTATGCCTGTAATCCCAGCACTTGGGAGGCTGAGGCCAGAGGATCACCACAAGTTCAAGGCCAGCTAGGGCTACAAAGTGAGTTCAAGACGAGCCTAAACTGTATAGTAAAACCCTGTCTCTAAAAGACAGTAAATACATACATACATACATATTTAAGTAACAGAAGTAGATAATTATCAGCCTTATTTTTTGGTAAAAATAGACTCTTTTGTTTTTTGTTTTTTTTTGTCTTTTTGAGATAGGGTCTTGTTATGCAGTACATGCTGGCCTTGAACTTACTTTGTAGCCCAGGCTGGCCTCAAACTCACAACAATCCTCCTGCCTCATCCTTCCAAGTGCTGGGATTGCAGGCATGCGCCTCCACTCCTGGCTTAACAGATTCTTTATTAAGCAGTTTTTATTAGATTTTTTTTTTCACTTAGTACACCAAAATGTATTATAAACCCCCGAAGAGCCTCTTTAAGGATTTATTCATCTTATTTTACCCATGTATAGGTAGTAGTTATTTTATCACTGTAAAGTAACTTTAATAAAGTAAATATAGAAATTAATATGTTGGTCATTTGTCGTTAATAGTAAACTTTTTTGTAAGAAGATTGAGAGGCTGTTTGATCCTGAGTACTTGAATCCAGATTCTCGGAGTAATGCCGCAACACTGTATAGGTAAGGTGTTTTTCTTTGCTGTGCTATATAATGTAGCCATACTCTTTAAATTATGACATTTAAATTTTTATTCAGTTTTTTGTACCTTCTCTTTCTTAAAGATGCTGTTTGTGTAAGAAACTTTTAACAAAAGAAACAGAAAGAAAGATTGCTTGCATTCCTGGAAAAATCAATGTGGATCGACACGGAAATATCATCTATATTCATATAAGGTATACTGAAGATAAAGTACACCTTTTCTGTGAGGATTTCTAGTGTATTTATAAAAGCATAACTTCTTTTCTAAGGAATAGGATAGCATCATTCCTGCAGGTGATACATCTTTGATTTAGAGAGATACTGCTCTCAAAACAAAATTGTTATAAAAGCTACATTTTATTTACTGGCTATACTTCATAACATCTTTAAATTTCAGAATGGCAAAAATTATTGTAGTTTAATTATAATATATTCTGGCCAGTGACATTAATGTGATTTCTTTCCAGTAATAGATTTAGTTACCTATAGAAGTGTTGTAGCTGGTCGTGGTGGCACATGTCTTTAATTTTAGCACTCAGGAGGCTGAGGCAGGAGGATCAGTGTGTGTTCAGGGTCAACCTGGGCTACATAGTGAGTTTAAGGACACCCTGAACTGCATAGTGAAACCCTGTCTCAAAAAACCAGAAAAAGAAAAAAAAATCTAATTAAAATAAAACCAAAGTCTGTCTCTATAGGGAAATACTTAATAAGTCTGACTGAAGGCATCAAGGGATGCTGAAGATGGTCAGGGTACAAATGGCCTGTTACACAGATCCATACTAATTACCTATGGGCGCTCATTCTGAGTTGGAGAAGGGAGATTGTAGGTTGATGTAATGCCCCAGGAAAGAAAAAAATTTAAAAGATATGTATTCTTAATAATTTCCAAGCTGTGCGTGGTGGCGCACACCTGTAATCCCAGCCCTCGGGAGGCTGAGGCAGGAGAATCA